GGACGGTGCAAAGTTATTTGGGTGGCGACTGCTGCCCCCGCGACCCGGTAACGGATAAGCGGATGAAAATGGATGGATGGATGGACATAACAAGGGGCGGTATGCATGGTGGAAGAAGAACACAGCATTGCAAGACAAACACTTGCTACCCACAGTTAAATTTGGTGGTGGTTCTATCATGCTGTGGGGCTGTGTGGCCAGTGCAAGTACTGGCAATCTTGTTAAAGTTAAAGGTCGCATGGATTCCAGTCAGTATCAGCAAATTCTTGCGAACAATGTTCAAGAATCAGTGACAAAGTTGAAGTTGCGCCGGGGCTGGATACTTCAACAAGACAACGACCTTAAACACTGCTCAAATTCAACCAAAGCATTCATACAGAGGAACAAGTACAACGTTCTGGAATGGCCATCTCAGTCCCCAGACCAAACTTTTTCATACCACTGTATATAGATAGATAGACAGACAGACAGACAGACAGACAGATAGATAGATAGACAGCACTGTTGGGGGGGTTAATTAGTTAATAGTGCAGTGCAACTTTATTATCTAATTGACTTTTATTAAATCCAGCAAATTAAAAAAAATTACATAACTGTGTACCCAAGATTTAATTAGACTGAATATTTATATATATTATATATATATATATATATATATAATATAAATTTATATTACAAAAATTACAAATTGTTTGTAATTGTGTTTCATACATTTTACATTAACTTTGTTTATACATCACTAAAGAATTTAATGTTAACTTTATTATACGCAGATACAACAAACGGACATAGCAACAAATTTATAATGTCTGCTGAGGTTGATTAAACTTTGTGCAGTGTACACAAACTATACTGTCAAAGGGCCAAACTTTTTCTTGACAGAAACCTTGGGGACTGGACACTCAAATAAAATGAAATAAAAATCACATTTTTGTGTAACATTATTGTCAGATGTTTATTTTCAAATCAACTCACTGGCAGAATCGGACAGTTCAGCGGGCCGGATTTGGCCCACGGGCTGACGGTTAAGAATCACTGGTGTACACAGTTAAAACAAACAAAAATATAACAATGTGTTGACATTAATTTAAAAAAATAATTTTCTGCTCTTGAACTAACCCTGTGTCCTGTGTCGGTTAATCATCTTTCTCTCTCTCCCTCTTACTCTTTGTCAGTCTGGCAGAGAAGCTGAAGCTGATGAAACCCACCCGGCCACATCTGGACCAGGTATCGTTTATCTGCCCAGACCCTCACTCTCCACTCTGTACTGGAGTTTTCTTGTTTTGTTTGCTAATTTATTCCAACACATCATTTCCTACTGATTAAGAAGGGGAGGGGGGGAGGCAATCCCCTCAGGCTGAAATAATGGGGCTTAGCATTCCCCCAGGCTTTGACATATGAGTGAAAACTCCCTCCGCACTTTTGTTTATGTGTGGAAATCAAGGCTTTTGATGTTTTTTTTAACACTACAAAGATTGAGTCTGGGTCATACAGGACAGCACAAACACTGATCCCTTTAGACGCCAGTGGCTTCAGACTTCCGTGTTGGCTAGACTCTAGTGACTGGGCTGCCTGTGATGGCTTTTTTCACTTCATAATGTTTGACGTCTAAACCAGGAATCTCAAACTCAATAGTGATGCTATAATGCTAATACATTAAATGCCCAATTTTATTAATATTGATATTTTTTGTGTGCACTGGAAGTGGCTCCTGGGCCATGGATTTGAGGCATATTGTCTAAACCATGTATTTCTAATAAGAAGCAGCTAAAGGTCTGCTGTATGAGTTGGGGATGTGAAGTGTCTTGTGCTAAGAGAAGAAACAGAGTTCTATTTCCCATTTGTTTTTGTTTGATTTTTTTCAGGTGTTTTTTTTTTTTTATTTCAAACTTTAAATTTAAACTTTTTCAGCATTTCTGTTGTGTTTTTGAGTTTGAGTCTTGCTGTTTTTAGGCCTCTTTTTTTTTCTTTTTTTTCCTTTTCTTTATAATCATGAACTTTTATCACAGGATGAGAACGGATGTGGGTTGTTTGCCTGAGCAAATAATGCCATTGTTTTCTGTTTTCTCTCCGTTCCCTTTCTCGCATGAAACCCAGTGTCCCCCTGAACCTCCACCACCACAGCCCCCGCACCCTCCTTCCCCCACGTTGCTCTTTTCATGTAAATGAGAATGACGTTTTGCTGTTGTTATGCCAAATAACAAGGAAGTGTGTAATCTTAACACTTTGACACAAAACCTCTGAAATATCTGCAAAGTGCCCTTTTAGCACTCCGAGGAAGTGTGTTTGTGTGTGTGTGTACGTGTACGTGTGTGTGTGTGTGTGTGTGTGTGTGTGTGTGCGTGTGTGTGTGTGTTCATTGGTATAGTGATCAGTCAGGGTGTAAAAAAACACATCCTCTGGTGTTAGGTTCATTATGACCTTACTAAGTAACACTGAAATATTTGTTAAAATTCTAACACCAAGTATTAAAATTACAGCTTGAGTAATCTCAGTATAACATTGTGCTCAAATACATTGATTAGTTTTCGGAAGTTGTTTAATTTGAACAACTCCAGAAATGTATTTAATAATGAAAAAGATTAAATACAAAATATGACCTATTCGAAAACTCCAAAAGTCAACTATAAACATTTTACATAAAATTAAAAACTCAACCAAAACTAAGGGATAATGGAAAACTCCACACTAATTAAGTCTTCTTTACCCTGTTTTCTTTAACATGATAAAAAATATTTTTTAATGCTAACCTGTTTATATAAATAATGTATATATATTAATAAATATAAATGTGTATATATGTACATATATACTGTATATATTTCTATTTGCATTCTTATAATCAAACTGTTCAAATTATCAATTATCAAAATTATAAAAATTATCAGTTTTAAATTATACAAACACTTTTTTGTGTTAAAATGAAAATGAATAAATAACAAATAGCAATGTTTAAAAATGTTGATTAAATTTATATTGAAAAGAATTTGATGAAATAAAAATAAATTCTCATTTTCACAGAGTTAAATTCTTGTAACGTTAGTCAGAACCACAAATAGAAACAGTGTGTGATGTTAATTAAGTAATTCCTCATCATCACAGTCCATGTGTTAAATGAACCTGAATTGTCTTTGTATTTCAGCCTTCTCAGAAATAGTTTCAAGTCTACGGTTACAAATATATAAGTATTTAGTTATTACAGGATGTGGTACTCCACCGTTCATCTTATTTTTCCTAGCATTTTAACAGTGTTGCTGACCTAATTTGGTTCTGTGCTGTTCTTTTGTGCAGAGTATATTAACTGTGACCTTCAAAGTGGCAGGAGACATCTCTGAAGATGCTTTGAATGTTTTCATTCAGGTGCAGTCACTCTGTCACATCATCCCCATCCATTCCATCCCACTTCAGTGCTAGGAAAAGGTAAATGTCCATTTTCCTCTGTTCCAGGATCTTCTTTGGGAAAAGATGTTCAAAAACAAAGAAGGACAACTCATGACTGTGGTCAGGTTAAAGGTACAATAGAGCACAGCAGTGCTGGCAATGATCAATAATAAGCACTTCTAATGTCTGTATTAAGTGTTACTAAATACTTGGTGTGGGTTAATGAGTTACGGCTGACTTGTGACTTGGGTGTTTTTAGGGCATAGTGTCGCTGCAAGGTAACGCCCACCAAGTGATGCTACAGGGGGTCCAGGAGCTGTACGAGCTGAATGAAACTCCACAGCTCTGGGAGGAGGATGTGCGGACGAACCGACTGGTCTTCATAGGTGAAGACTCTCTCACTTTACACACAGATCTTGACACCAGTGTATGTATTTTGCAAGTATGCAAATGTATAAGTTACAGTAAAAGAATAAATAAATAAAGGCTTTTAATGACATTTTAGAAGTACATGCATGGGTGAGTGCTGTCATGGTGGGTGGGGCCCTTCTTTATGGTGCATGAAGCTACTGTAGGGTGGATGCAGCAAGGTATGCAGCAACCTGAATTTTACTATTTTGTTTAGTTGTGTCTGTTGAAATTGCACAGGTTTATTTGCTAACTTCATGTTCTTTGTTCAACAGAAAAACAGTTTTTAACAGTGTTTTTAAATAAAGTTTTGTGCTGTGAATATGTGGATGTGGGGCGATTGACGTTCAAGATTGTTGAAATGTTGTCACATTTCAAGATATGTAATGTTAGTCGTGGCAGTGGTGGCTTAGTGGTTTAGGAAGCGGACCTAGTTCCTGAAGGCTTTAGGTTCTAGTCCAACCAGCTGCCAAGTTACCACTCAGGTGCTCTAAGCATGGCACCGTCCCCACACACTGCTCCCCAGGTGCTTAAGGCTGCTCACTGTTTACTTTAGTGATGGGTTAAAAGCAGAGGTCACATTTTGTTGTGTGCAGTGGTGTGCTGTGTCACAACGACACAAGTAGTTCACTAACCTGTCAGTGTTAAACCCACTTTCACAGGGAGGAACCTGGACAAGGACGTTCTGCAGGAGAAATTTCTGTCAACTCTGGCTCAGGATGTGTAGAAAATTTTGTGACATCTTTACAGCTCTTCTCTCTGAAAAACATTTGGTTTCGGCTATCAGCAATCTTAAGACTGTTTTTGATTATTCTCCTAGAAGGTAGCATACAGTATCATATGGCTGAAACATACTGTGAAGAATATTGTTATAAAGCAACATATACATCTGCTGTAGATACACTAAATTTTATATAATGAGGGAAATGCTGTTCTTAATCCTTACAGAAGTCTGTGCTGTGTAAATAAAGCATCTCTGATAACAGTATTTATCCTTATTCAAATGATTCCTCCAAAAGTGCTTGTGTTAACTAATCCAGTAAATCTAGTGTGAAATTCAACTGAGTTTTGAAAAGGTTTCACAACTTCACTTCCTTTGTATTTAAATAGATACAAATATATGTTTTACTTATTGTATGAAGTACTACAGTTTTGTAATGTTTTACAAAGTAATGGTAATTTACTGTGGTAACAGATTTCTCAGCTTTTCTTTAAAGTGATATCTATACTCCAAATACACTGTCCATCAACCGCTTATCCGGGGCCGGGTCGCGGGGGCAACAGTCTGAGCAGGGACGCCCAGACTTCTCTCTCCCCTGACACTTACTCCAGCTCTTCTGGGGGGACCCCAAGGCGCTCCCAGGCCAGTCAAGCGACGTAGTCTCCTCCCAGAGGGACAGGACCCGAGCACCTCCCGAGGTAGGCATCCGGGGGGCATGCGATGTAAATGCCCAAGCCACCTCAACTGAATCCTCTCGATGTGGAGGAGCAGCGGCTCTACTTTGAGCTCCTCTCGTGTGACAGAGCTCCTCACCCTATCTCAAAGGGAGCGCTCTGCCACCCTGTGGAGAAAGCTCATTTCAGCCGCTTGTATCCGGGTTCTCATTCTTTTGGTCATGACCCAGAGCTCATGAACATAGGTGAGGGTAGGAACATAGATTGACCCGTAAATTGAGAGCTTCGCCTTTCGGCTCAGCTCCTTCTTCACCACAATGGACCAATCCGCCTGTCCATCTCACGTTCCATCCTACCGTCACTCGTGAACAAGATACTTAAACTCCTCCACCTGAGGCAGGACTTCCTCCCCAGCCCGGAGGGTGCAAACCATCTTTTTCCGGTCGAGAACCATGGCCTCGGACTTAGAGGTGCTAATTCTCATCCCAGCTGCTTTACACTCGTCTGCAAACTGCCCCAGTGCATCTTGCAGGTCCTGGCTCAAAGAAGCCAACAAGACAACATCATCCGCAAAAAGCAGATGAAATCCGTTGGCTCCCGAACTGGACCCCACCTGACACCTGGCTGCACCTAGAAATTATGTCCATAAATATAATGAACAGAACCGGTGACAAAGGGCAGCCCCGCCGTAGTCCCACATGCACCGGGAACAGGTCCGACTTACTGCCGGCAATGCGAACCAAG